GTTTCAAGTGTGGGAAACAAGGGCATAAAGCCTCGATGTGCAAGACCCACAAGAAGAAGAAGAACAAAGGTCAAGCTAATATTGTTGATGATATGGATATGGATGACCATTGTGCCGTTCTTTCTGAATGTAACTTGGTAGGGAATCCAAGAGAATGGTGGATAGACTCTGGCGCTACCCGCCATGTTTGTGCAGTCAAAGAGATGTTCACTTCCTACTCTTTGGCTAAGGCGGAGGAGAAATTATTCATGGGAAACTCCTCCACGGCCAAGGTCGAGGGATATGGAAAGATTGTCTTGAAGATGATATCGGGCAAGGTTGTGACCCTCAACAACGTCCTCCATGTACCAGAAATTCGCAAGAATTTGGTGTCTACCTCGCTTCTTGTCAAGCACGGATTCAAGGTTGTGTTTGTTTCCGATAAGGTTGTAATTAGCAAGAATGATGTGTATATAGGAAAAGGTTATCTTAATAATGACCTTTTCAAGCTCAATGTAATTATCGTGAACGATGCTATTAATAATAATAATAACGCTTCTTCCGCGTATTTACTTGAGTCAAATCATTTGTGGCATGCCCGTTTGGGACATGTGAATTACAAATCCTTACGGAAAATGATAAACATTGAAGTGTTGCCCAAGTTCGAATGAAATAAATCTAAATGTCAAGTATGTGTGGAATCAAAGTTTGCGAAACATCCCCACAAGTCGATTGAAAGAACTTCTGAACCATTGGACTTGATTCACACTGACATTTGTGATATGAAGTCGACACCATCTCGAGGTGGGAAAAAGTACTTCATAACATTTATCGACGATAGCACTAGATATTGCTATGTATATTTGCTAAGTAGCAAAGATGAAGCGATTGATGCATTCAAACAATTCAAAGCAGAAGTTGAGAACCAACTCAACAAGAAAATAAAAATGGTCAGAAGTGATAGAGGTGGTGAATATGAATTTCCATTTGAAGAAATATGTCTAGAAAATGGAATTATTCACCAAACATCGGCTCCATATACCCCACAACAAAATGGAGTTGCGGAAAGGAAGAACAGAACTTTGAAGGACATGATGAATGCTTTACTCCTAAATTCGGGTTTACCTCAGAATTTGTGGGGGGAAGCTATTCTTACTGCTACACAAATACTCAATAGAGTACCGTACAGTAAGACGCAAATCATTCCGTATGAAAAATGGAAAGGTAAAAGACCAAACTTGAATTACTTCAAAGTGTGGGGGTGTTTGGCAAAGGTTCGAGTTCCAAAACCGAAACAGGTCAAATTGGGACCTAAAACGATAGATTGCATCTTTATTGGTTATGCCAATAATAGCAAAGCATATAGATTTTTGGTCTATAAATCAAAAATCTCTGACATCCATCCTAATACGGTTATAGAATATGATAGTGCAGAGTTCTTTGAGAACATATTTCCGTATAGGAATAAGGATGTAGTTGTTGGAGAAAGCTCCAAGCGACCTCGGGATGATTCATTGGAAAATGATTCCAATATTGATGAGCCACGGCGTAGTAAACGTCAAAGGGTGCCTACGTCATTCGGTCCCGACTTCTTAACGTTTTTGTTGGAAGATGAGCGAAAGACATTTGAAGAAGCGATGAAGTCTTCTGAAGCTCAATATTGGTTGGAGGCTGTCAATAGTGAAATTGAGTCCATTTTGAATAACCACACATGGGATTTGGTGGATCTTCCTCCCGGTTGCATACCATTGGGATATAAATGGATCTTCAAAAGGAAGTTGAAAGATGATGGTACTATTGACAAGTACAAGGCAAGACTTGTGGTCCAAGGATTTAGACAAAAGGAAGGCCTTGACTATTTTGATACATACGCCCCAGTCACAAGAATTACATATATTCGGATGCTAATTGCTTTGGCTGCCGTGTATGGTCTACAAATCCATCAAATGGATGTAAAAACGGCCTTTCTAAATGGCGACCTGGAGGAAGAAATCTACATGAAATAGCCAGAGGGGTTCGTTGTCCCTGGACAAGAACATAAGGTGTGTAGATTGGTGAAGTCCCTATATGGACTTAAACAAGCACCCAAACAATGGCATGCTAAATTTGACGCAGTTATGTTGTCAAACGGTTTTCGGATTAACGAATGTGATAAGTGTGTATATATCAAGAACACACCTAATCACGAAGTCATTGTTTGTCTATACGTGGATTATATGTTGATAATGAGTAAGAACGTTATTGACATAGAAGAGACAAAGCGAATGCTATCAAGATCTTTCGACATGAAAGACTTGGGTGAGGCGGATGTTATTCTTGGAATAAAGATATCTAGAACGCCTCAACGTCTAGCATTATCGAAGTCTCACTACATAGAGAAAATTCTTGATAAATTCAAGTATTTGAATATCAAAGAAGTGCACACGCCGATTGATCCAAACCTTGTTCTTACAAAGAACGGAGGTAAAAGTGAATCTCAAGAAAATTACGCACGAGTTTTGGGATGTCTAATGTACATCATGAATAGTACTCGACCAGATATTGCTTGCGCAATAAGTAAATTGAGTCGATATCAACGTAATCCAAATAGCACGCATTGGATGGCAATGCCGCGTGTTTTGGGGTATTTACAACATACCAAAGATTTCGCTTTGCACTACAAAAAATATCCGGCAGTACTTGAAGGATATTGTGATGCAAATTGGATCACCGGGTCAACCGAAATCAAATCCACCAGCGGATATGTATTTACGGTTGGTGGGGGAGCAGTATCTTGGAGATCTTCCAAGCAGACTTGTATTGCCCGATCCACAATGGAATCGGAGCTCATAGCTTTGGACTTAGCCAGTGAAGAAGCGGAATGGCTTCGGAGCTTCTTGGAAGATGTTCCGTTTTGGCACAAGCCGTTAACCCCAATAAGCATACATTGTGATAGTCAAGCGGCTATTGGAAGGGCAAAAAGTGTGATGTATAATGGAAAGTCTCGTCACATACGTCGACGACATAACACAGTGAGGCAATTAATCTCTAGTGGAGTTATCTCGATTGATTATGTAAGATCAAAAGATAACGTGTCGGATCCGTTAACTAAAGGCCTAACTAGAGCATTAGTTGAGAAGTCATCGAGGGGAATGGGACTGTGGCCTAGGACAAATCATCATGGCGGTAACTCTACCTAAGTAGGATTGGCAGACCCAACCTCTAGGTTCAAGGAGCAAACAAAGTTGTGAATGATGGTCCGACATTGTCAAATTATTTAAAGTCCATTCTCATGATGAGACAATGTCCAAAATATAAGGGTAAACCTAAATATGAAAGGTTTTTAATGGTTTCTAAGTTTGACACGTGTTGTGATCAAATAGTGTATTTTCGGAATACATGTTTAGAAATCACCTATGTGAGTGTGAAGTGGAGCCGCTTCAAGGAGAACAAAAGAAGGCCAATTCTCTACGCACTTATGAAACCAGGCGGTGTTCATGGCTGAAACGAACACAACAATGAGAACCAACGAGCGGATAAGAGTTGGTTGTGTGACATATGTTGTCTTAGTATACAAGAAAACCGACGGTTCAAAGATATCATATTTACCGATTGGTGAGTATACTCGATATATGTTCACTAGGGAAGGTTCAAAGGGAAACCCACCTATCCTAATACAACTAATTCTTAGTTGAGAGTCACACAGTTTTTTGCATAGTTTTCAAAACTTAGCATTCTCTTTCATGTGGGGGATTGTTGGGATTTGAAAGGTGTGAATGAGAATGGAAAGGGGAAGAAGCCAATAGTTGGTGAAGTTATTGGTTAAACCAAGTTGAACCAAATCGGACCGAACTGATGTGGCGGTTGGAACGAACCAACCGGTCCAACTACTATGGCGAACCGATGCAATGGTTGGGGTGTAACCACCCACTTGAAGGGTCACATCCCTTCACTCGCACCCCTTCATTGTCTATAAATAAACACCTACCCCCCTCTGTTTTCTACACAAGTTAGTTTTCCCAAGAAATTTTTCTGGCCAAAAGATAAAAGAATTTTTCATTCTTCATTGCATTTCCTCTCTACAAACTCATAAAGAAAAACAGAGTCGTGTGACTTCTCTCCGATCGTTGCGTTCGTCGGATTCTGGTGTTTCAAGTACCGGTACAGCCAGAAAAGGTACGTCCGTTCTATCCTGGGAGGAATAGTTCCAATAACCTTGGGTACCGTAGAGGGGAACTAAATTCCTTAAGGAGAAATAATGAATTCTATTGGCTCGGGCGTTGTTTATGCATGTGTCGATTTCTATATATGTCTTGTGTGGCAAGAAACATACTTTTGTGAAACGTTTTTTCCATAACACTAAGCTCCATTATTCTAACTTGTACATCATACCATTGAGAAGTACATGGTTCCATAACTTATGCAGACTAGGTAATCCTTCCTGTCATAACATGTGCATTTCCACCAATATGCGCTACTTGCTCACTTCGCATAACTCCACCGCAAACCCTTCTTGTTGGTATAATTCTCATATCCCAACTAATTAACTAACCCATACTCCATCGTAAGTAGGGACGGCAACTTTGCCCATACCCATGGGTTTCTTACTATCCAACCCAATTGGGTTGGGTATGAAATCCAAATAGATGGATATGGGTAGAGTTTGATGGGTTTGTACCCATACCCATTTACTATGGGTTGAGTTGGGTTTATATCAAATGGATTTGGGTTTGTACCCATGCCCAAATACAAATTACAGTTTGGTACCCAAACTTAATAGACATGCATATTTAGTACCTATTTTTTTTTTGCATATAAGTCCTCAAAATATCAATGGAAAATTACATTTTGGTACCTAAATTTTTTTGGTCTTACATTTTGGTACCTAAACTTTTCAAGTTTTGCAAATAGGTCCAATTTTTGCATGTGTAGTTAAAACACCCTCAAGTAAATGGATATCCATATCCAACCCATACCCATTTAGATTATGGAAACCCCAAACCCAAACCCATCTATAAACCCCTAAATCCATATGCACTTCACCCATGCCCAACCCATTATCAATGGGTCTACTTGGGTTTGGGTATAATTACCCATGGGTGGGTAATTTGCCATCCTAATCGTAAGAGCTCTATGTTATACCAACGTGAATTATAGTAGCCATGCACGCCCACCTAATTGAGTAGTCCACCACATAATGCCAAATCCTGTCGTAAGTAAATCAATCATCAATCCCACATTAGTGGTTTGATTCTCCGGCTCTTGTCTCAACAGCCCACGGGAAAAAAGGCAAGTTGATTATTACCGGCGACAACGCCAAATCGAATTCTGGGACCCAAGCTTTGTAACAGAGCAGTATATATTTACATTTAAGATTAGTCGCAACTCTCTGATTGTTTTCGACATCAAGCTAGCCTTTCATTGTACTCCAGCATGTTTGGCTTAATCTTCGATCGGCTGACTTACATATAGTAGTTCAAAGAAAACTTCAAAAACTCGTTGAACCTTCCCCAGGATTCTTGTGCTTCCCTGACGCTTAACTTAATGTCTCCTGGTTGGCGCATAGAGTTGGGGTTCTCATACTCTTGCTTCCTCCCTTAGTAGACCCTAGCAACCATTCTACATATCCTTTATCCTTTCTCCGTAGCCCAATGAATGCCCTTTGCCTTAATCTCGTAGTCGACGTCCTAAGCATCATAAATAAAATGTGTCTTATTTATGCGTATGCTAATCAAACACTCCTACGGGCATCCTAGCATGCCGCAACCACTTAAAGTGGAGCACCTCTTGTGTTTGGACTCTAGAACTACTAATGGGCGAGACTTGATGTTTTGAAATCTCGTACTCTTACATAAAACTTTGGCCAAATTCACTTGCATAGTCAAAATTTTGATGGTTGTGACAAATATAGCCAATTTTGGGGAAATACCAGAAATAGTCAGAGTTTTGAAAGTTCGATGACAAATATAGTCATTTCCGTTACATAGTTTGACGGCGTCAATGGCACCGTTAATCTATTTAACGGACAGTTGATGTGGCTGCCACCTCACGTATCTTTCCTTCCCACCTCAGCATCCATTGATAGGTGGGATGCCACGTCACATTAAAAATTTAATTTTTTAACAAATTATTTTTAAAAAAATTTTATTTCATATTCTTTCCCCTGACTTCATCTTCACCAACAAAACATCTCTCCCACTCCTCCGTCTCTTTTTCCCCTCTGGTCCAACCTCTCTCTGTATCTATCTCACCCTTTCATTCACCCTAGCCCTCTAACCATCATCTTCAACCTCCGACCAGTAAATCGAGAAAATGATGCCTCCTCAAAATGACCAAATTCAAAACTTGGAATCCAACCCTAGGATCTCGCCGATAGAATCGATTCCACTCTGCGTCCTCTCTCGGCTCTACCCATCTTCTTCCTCCTCTGTTGCAACTAGCGGAGAAGAAGAACAGATTTTATGGGCGAACTTGACTCACCGTCTCTTTCCTCTTGATCCGTCCACGCTTGATTCCATTCTCAACCCCTGCGGCAGCCACAAGCTTAAAGTTGCAGGTGCAACCGCCGTGCCACCGACGATGAACAGATCTCGTCCCGACGGCGAGGTTCCTGTAGCCGAGCGGCTGGCGGGGATCTACTGGCGCTCGATTCTCCTTCGTTGGTGGTGAGGATGATGAAGTGGTGTGCGAAGAGGTGACAGCGGCGGGGATTTGTGGAGGTTTGGTGGCGGCGGGAATAGGGGATTAGGGATTTAATCTCAGTTGTATGCCTTCTCCATTCCGCCCAAAAGAAGACGATCCCTTCGTAGAGTTATTGTTCGACACCAACACCCTAGATCCACCTCCCAGTGGAGGAGAACCGAAAGAGAATCGAGTATTAGAAGACATCGGAGGAAAAACGAAAGCTAAACGGAGGCTCCTTCTCTTCTGTCAGCACCGCCACTTGAGTCGACGATTCCAATTTTGCTGGCAAAAGGATCGCCGCCACCAACCGTCGTGGAAAGCTTCTTCAAGAAGTGGAAGGTTTCAAAATGGGTAGGGATTGATTTTCAATTATATTTTTATTTGGGTTAGGAAGTTGTGGAGGGTTGAGCACTTAATTGTTTGTTGTTTGGATTATGGAAGGCTTCAATCCTAGTGATTGCAGAAGAGGAAGCTTCTGATAGGAAGTATTGTTGAAGATGAACAGGCGGTGGTGGTGGGGAGAGAGAAAGACATTTATTTTCGAATCCCAATATCTCACTTACAAAATGCAGACAGAGGGAAACAAGGCTCTGATACCAAAATGTAATACCATAACCCGGTCGGGCACTACTTTTACCAAAATACCCTCGTTAAACCGTCAACCACAATGAGAACCAAAAAGAGTGGGGAAATTAGCGGGAAACTTTATTTAAAAATCCATGATAAAATAGTTTGAAATTCAAATAAAAAATTCTTGAAATTGGCATAAGCAGAAGTCATAAACATCTTTAATAAACGCGCATCAAGTCTCGAGTCCTACTAAATGTACGAGATTCGAATCTTCGTACTGGAATCCTCTAAGGTCATTGATCCTTGTCACGAACGGCTATTTTTGAGCATACTCCAAAGCTTCTACCCTTCTTAAATGCGAGTGATGGGGTCAGTCCTAAACCTAATTTCGTTATCATACACTAACACACAATCATGCACGTGTAATGCTTATGGTACGTTATTGAGTACACTAGTAGAAGTATATTATTATTAACATATTCTTACTTATCGCATTTACTTCTTACTTAACTTGAAATGGCATACCGCTCTCGACTTAACTAGCACAACCGTCTGGCACCAACATATCATGAACATATCCTCCTCATCTACAAAGAGTAACATAACATACCTCCACATCTACAGTGAGTAGTGGTGTCCGGCACCGATTATGACATACATATCATGACCCCTCATCTACAAGGTGCTCCTCATCTATAAGGAGTAAGGTGATCTTGTGTGACTAGTTAAGGGATGGTTCTTATTCTTGCTTATTAACTTGATATCTTATACGTGCTTGCTTGGAACAACCTCTCACAGGATGGAGAGACATACTTAATCTTGTTCTTGCTTACTTTACTTGAGAAGTTTGAGCTTACTTAGGTGATTTCCCGCACAATGAGAAGATATATATGTTTATCAACTTGCACTTGGTTAGCTTAGAATTGGACTTGTATTTTCTTGACTGGTAGCGTAGTTTACCTATGCTTCATGATGCTATGCATACTTAACGTAAAGACTGAACGTAAACAAATCAACTTAATATGAAAGCATATAACGAATGACTGAACATAAAACAAGAACTGTAATGCATAACATGAACTTAAATGCATACACTGATAACGAAAACTACTCTAGCCACCTTTAACCACGCACCTTAATTCTCAAATGACTGATTTTGTCGGATATCCTGATTGACTATGATCCAGCCGCCAACACTTTTATGTTATGTTACTCCTCGTAGATGAGGCGGTTATGTTCACAATACGTTGGTGTCGGACGGTTGTGCTAGTTAAGTTGAGGGTGGTATCCCATTTGAAGTTAAGTTAGGAGAAAAGATTATAAGTGAGACTATGTCAATAATAATATACTCCTACTAATTTACCCAATAATGTATCATAGGCATCGTATTTGCATTGTTGTTTATTTACGTATGATAACGAAATTAGGATTAGGATTGACCCCATCGCCAGCACTTAGGAGCTGCAAGGAAGAGGGAGTAATCGGATCACTCGTCGGGAAGAAGCTGCTTCTCGAAATGTCATCTTCACAAGGGTTAGTGATTGCAGATAGGGATGGCAATAAGTCGGGTTTTCCCAAACCCAAACCCAAATTTATGGGTTTATCCATGAAAAAAAACCCGGGATAAAATCCATTGGGTTTGGAAAACTCAAATCCAACCCAACCCACTAGGTATCTGCAGATTCGTGGATACCCAAGGGTTTATGTCGTAAAAAATTTACAATAACAAGTTTCGATCAAAATAAAATTTAAATATTAATATCTCAATACAAATTATCCATATATAAAACACCATTCTAGAGAATTCAAGCAAATTATAAATTAACCATACAAAATGTTCAACACCAATCTAGAAAACTCAAGAAAATTGAAGCAAATCACCAATTATCCATGAACAACATGTTTAATTTAAAGCTTCTTCCTCGTCAATTAGAAAGAAAAAATTAGCTATGTATCCACAAACATAAAGAAGATTAGTTGCATAGAATACTAAATATACAGGGAAAATTAATTATATGGGTGTGGGCGGGTATCCATGGGGAGTGTATACCTAAAACCAAACCCAACCCGATGAATAGTGAATGGGTTAAACTCTAACCCGACACAAAACCCGTCAACACGGGTTTTACCCGCATTGACCGGGTTGGTTCGGGTCGGGTACACGTGGGTTCGGGTTTTGTTGTCATCCCTAATTGCAGAAGTCCCAAGTGTACTCCTTCACTTATGTACTTTTATTTGTAGGCTTGAGACTGATGCTCATTTATGATTTGTTACAGTGATTTGAAATTATTTCAATTATTCTTTGAATTTTGAGTTATTTTAATTACTCATGGACATGTTGGTAAAAGTAGTGCTCAGCCGAGTTAGGTCGTTACATTTTGGTATCAGTGTCGGTCTCGTCTTACTAACAAGTGCAATTCTTCCGAGGTACTGACACAAAGTCATTTCCCTATGTAGGAGCATGGATACTGGAAACTCTCAACAAGTTGGTGGTCGACGCCCACCTCCGAATTACGTTGCACTCAGAACAATGGGTGTTAAAGACTTCGAGGGATCTTCCGACCCTAATGTGGTTGATGTATGGCTGCTGAAGCTTACCCGCACCCTTGACGAGGTGTGCATCGATAACCATGAGGACAGGATCGCCATGGCTGTCCATGTGCTCCATGTAGGGTTGGGAATCTTGACCAAACTGTATAACAAATTGCGATTTAGATCGCCATGAATACAATTTGGTCTGGTCCACGTTCTGCCTCTTTAACTTGCAGTCAGGAATGGTTTGGTCTGATCTAGACCGTGGTTAACCATCCAGACCTCGCCAAATTAAGTGTGGGCTTTCAAGTTGCAGCAACCCAATCTCAGCCCAGTTCGACAGCTCCTTAGGGCCAAGCCCAACTACATTTCTCTCGCAGGCCAAGCTCGCCACCCTAATGCAGCGTTCCCATCGTCAATTGGCCATTCCTTAATCCCCAGCTGTGAGTTTGCTTTTTTACAAGGTCGAGGCCCGAAAGGCGAGAAGGAAAACCTAGCACTTCAGCCTTCGCCTCATCTCGCCTCCCCTGTGTAACACCTCGATTTTCAGTTAGGATTCAACCCATAATAAATGTGTGGATTGAATCGAGCCAAGCCTTGTACGATAATCAAGACCCGAGTAATTGAGACCATTAATTTTTATTTCAACCGGACCCTTTAGTGATTTCTTCGGTTACTCCCATCTCCTCATAACAGAAACGTAAAAAGCAACCCTAAACAGAACAACTCAGAAAGTCACTCTATTCCCATAGAGGAAACCAAAAGCAGAGCTGCCGCCATTTTGTTCGACTGCTCACAAAATCCCCTCCTCACAATCACCCTGCCCCAACAAGAATAAGTAGCCACAGTCGCAACCGGATGCGATCGCGAGAGAGAACTTAGCGGAGGGGATTCACGAAAGCATTGATTTGAGAGTAACAGATGAATCGACGAAGCCGCACCAGCCGGGCATTGCCACCACCCCCCAACACTTTCCCACGCTCTCGCCAACAGCCGCGCGACCAAAGGCAGCAGCAGCAGCGCCAGCCCTCTGTCGACCCTCCTCTTTCCCTCGAGAACCCCCAAAGTTCCAGCCTCCATCCGCATGGTTTCCATCGCTTCCAACCATTGCTGCAGCTTACACTACAAAACCAATACCCATTAGGGACGAATATAGGGGACAAAGGTTTAATTTGGTACCGAGAAATACCATTTTAAGTAATTTTAGGGACAAGCGGATAAAATCGTCTCTATAAATCAAGCGATAAACATTTAACTTGTTTGGCATTTTTTTTACGCGTCCCTAAAGGTCCTTATCATAAATTAAATGCTAAATTGGGGATTTGCGGGAGCTATGGAAATTACTTTCATTTTTTTGAGTAAGCTATTCTCCTATGATTAGGAAAAAAATAAACAATAATTTTTAGAGGCTGGAGTACGCGGCTGTGGCCATTTTGCCTTTGAATAACATTACAATTTCTTTCCTTTAAATGACAACTTTATATTCCGCCAAAAAATAATTTCTGGATTGTGTCAAGTTTATGAGTTGTACTCTTTATCCCACAGCTAACTTTTATTTGCTTTGGTTTGGCTATTTTGATTTCTGGTGAGAACTGTTTTCTTAGGAAAATTAATATTTTTTAGGACAATTTCTCCTCCCCGAATATAATATTAAAATTTAAGGGTTAAGGACACCAAGTTGTCCCTATAAATTATATAGATGACAATTTGTCGTCCCTAAAGACACTGTTTAAACGACATGCAACCATATCTACAAGTAAGTTAATTAAGATTTGTTGTCCCTAAAGATATAACACTAAGGGGAATATGGTCACAGCTACAAGTTACATAGGTTCCGATTTACCACCCTTAAAGATATAACACTTGATGGACTTGTCTATAAATCATATAGGTGACGATTGTTCATCGCTAAAGACAATGCTTAAGGGACACATGGTCATAACTACAAGTTACATATGTTACGATTTGTCGTCTCCAAAAATACAACACTTAAGGAACACACTGTCTTAACTACAAATTACATAGATTAAATTTACCGTCCCCGAAGATGTAATATTTACGGGGCAAGTGATCGTCCCTACAAAGTTATGTGTAGTTGTCCTCGAAGACAAATACTAACAGACACTTGGTCGTTCGTGCAAATGACACAGATGACAATTATTAGTCATCCCGGGAAACACATGGTAAGGGATAATTGGTCATTCTTAAAAACATAAATAATATATTGTAAGTGTATCTCACAATTTTCAAATGGAATCAAACCATTAAGATGACAATTAGGAATTTTTACCTATATATAAAATGGGTGTTCTACCCCAAGTTTTAATGATATTTGAACACCTGTTCAAACTACCAAAATAATTTCCCTCTTTCATTCTATATTACATAATTGCCCTATTAATTCTATACACAAAAGGCATGCGAAGGAAACCTACAAGTATATCCTTGAGAATATTGACAGAAGGCTCGCGAACTGGAAAACAAAGAGGGAAATCCTTGAGAATGTGTGTGATATAATTGACAAGAAGATTAGGGGATTTGTCTGGGGCAGGGAAAGTGGCAAGGCAAAAACCCATCTCGTCTCCTGGGAGTCAATCTGCAAGCATAAGGAGGAGGGTGGACTCGGTCTTCGATCGGCCAGAGCTCTGAACCTTGCTTACCTGATGAAGCTTGGCTGACAGTTTCTTAACAATGAAGAAGATCTTTGGGTTAGGGTGCTGCATGGCAAATTTGTGAAACACAACGGTGATGGTAGTGGCTCTTTCAGGCAGAATAGAACCTCCAGAGTCTGGAAAGGAATGAGGGAGGCTCTGCCTCTTGTGAAACAACATACCATCTGGGATATTAGGAACAGCAGGAGCGTCAGATTTTGGGATGATCAGTGGATGGCAGCAGGACTGGCCTTGAAAGACTATATCTCTAATAATGGGCATGACATTCAATGGGATCTCTCAGTAGCAGAGATGGTGGATTCAGCAGGTGAGTGGAAATGGCAAACTATCAGTAACCATCTTCCTGACTCAATGCTCTCTCTACTTGCAGGTACAGATACACCTGTCCATGAAGCTGGGGAGGACACCACTATATGGAGTCTGGAAAATGACGGACAGTTCCGACTTGGCAGCGCGTACAGAGCGGCGGTGGACTGGTTGCAAGAAGATACAGAGAAGGAAGTTGATGTGAACAACCAACCAAAGTGGATGAATGTTTGGAAATGGCCCGGACCCAACCGCATACGGCACTTCCTTTGGCTGTCCCTTCACGATCGCCTATTGACAAACTGTGAAAGAAAGCGGAGGAAGCTTTGCGATAGTGATGTGTGCGAGCTCTGCAAATCAGGACCAGAAACGGCGGAGCACGTCATTCGAACATGCCCTATGGCCAGACAGGTATGGGATTCACTTGGAATAATCGAGACCTCCCTCACACATGGTTTAAACTTTGCAGGCTGGTTGGCGACAAATCTGAAACGCGAGGAGACAAAGTTGCTGTTCAGGGTGGCGGCTTGGTACCTGTGGAGAAGAAGAAACGAGCTAGTCTTTGAACACAAATTCCAGGAGGCTGGCGTCCTTGCGCACCGGATTAAAGCCTGGACGTCAATAATAAAGAGAGCTCAGGACAACAATCAGAAACTTTCCACCAAGACGACGACAACTAAAAGCAGACAGGAGCTTTCTTGGCAGCCACCCCCCAACGGCTAGATAGTTGTTAATTCGGATGGCTCCATCCAGCAACATAACTCGGCGGCAGCAGCAGGAGGGCTGCTTCGCGACCACCTCGGCCGGTGTGTTGGTGCTTTCGTCGTGAACCTCGGCAGTTGCTCCATAACCAGGGCTGAGATCATTGGAGCTCTCTCAGGATTGCAGGTTGCTTGGGATCAAGGCCACAGGAAAGTCCTTCTCAGGCTTGACTCTACTGCAACCATGGATTTCTTAACTTCCAAGGATCAGGAAAGCAGGCGCTACCACAACCTCACCAGGAGATTCCAGGAACTGTTGAAAAGAAATTGGGAGGTCCATATCTCTCATTCTTACCGCGAGTGTAATAAAGTGGCCGATTATTTGGCTAATAAGACCCATGGCTTCAGTCTAGGCACCCATTGCTTTGATATTTCGGATTCCGGTCTTAACTTTTGGATCCTGTATGACACTATGGGTATCACCCAAGATCGTTTAATTTAAGTACCAGGCAGGGGCGCCCTTTTAGCGTCCCATTTTCTACCCAAAAAAAAAAAGTCAATCCGCGGGTCAATATGTCGGTGGACCCGTTTGGAGATTGACCCTATGAGAAAAATTGGTCACACACCTGTGGGTCGACCCATTGCAAGGTTACTCGGTTAGAGGTCACGCGACATCATTTTCCCCTTTGGTTTGCGAAATGTATCTCTTTTCTAGTCTTTTTCTTCGCCTAATCACATGTTTGGGATTCTAAGTTAAACATTTGTATGATATATAAGTATGTGTGAATTTTCTCTATATATTTTTTAAAAAAATATTCATTATATGTTAGATGGAGACCTGTTACTTTCATAAATATGGTAGATTAGTGTCTTCCCCTAATATATATTCCGTAGGTCAATAACTCCGAATGAGTTAAACTTAATCCCTTGTTTTAATGTGGAAAAAAAATATATCCATTTTTCTAGAACCTTCCATCTCATCATTTCATCTCAACCGTTCCTTGGAATTAATTGATCTTCATCCACACCATCAATTGAAATAAAAACCCTATAGAAACCCTACTTCTACCCCGTCCATCCATTCACTAGCCTGAATGGTCTGAATTTTCTTCCTTCTATAGAAACCCTACTTCTACCCCGGCGACGAATCTATCTCACCCACACTTCTTCAAGCTCCAAATTGACGCTTATCAATCCCATATTCATCAGCGTTCCCTTGCTTTCTTCCTAGTCGGCTATGGTACGAATTCAAATATAATTCTTTAAGTTTTTTTTTTGTGGATTTCGATGTAGTATATTAGTCACATGAGTTTCTTTTGTAGAAGTGGTTGAATGTATGGTGCAGTTTTTGTTATATCGGTAATTTCCGAAGCTTATGACGATTTTTTTTTTTTTGGGTATTCTCGTGGGATGGACACTAGAGATGGCGAAGATTAGACAAGGTAGAGGGAAAAAGAACGTAGGGAGCGAATGAAGCATGGAAAGAGAAGTTCGTCACCGAGATTTAGCAAGAGTACTGGTGCTTGTTTTGGTGATTTGGCGTTTTCTTTGTCAAATCGGCTTTTATTTTCATTGTCTATTTTCTATATTGAATTTTATTTGTTCAATTAAAATCTTGTCCACGTTACCGTCTTCAAAGTTTTGGTTGCGAGCCTACTACTCTGGTTGACAATTCCTCATCTCTAAAAAGGATTAATGTTACTAGACTAATAATTGTTTCTAATTAGTCATCCCAAAGAAACATGTTAAAGGACAACAAGTCGTTCATACAAGTTATATAATGGATAATTAGTCATTTTCAAAAGGTGCATAAGAGACAATTCATTATCCCTCAATATATAGGTCAAGGGACAATTGTTCGTTCCTAAAAAGCATAGGTGACAACTTGTCGTCTCTAAAAATTTAGTATAAGAGACCACTCGTAGTCTTTGAATAAAACTTTTGGGGACGATATTTGAACTCCAATTTGATACCTATAGGAACGACATGCCGATCCTATAAAAAGAAATGGGGACGATATATTATTCCCATATAGGTCCAGCATAATCATGAAATCAATTATGTAGGACAATAGTTTGTCCCTATAATGATGTTTAGGAGACGACTTGTTGTCATTACAGTTATAGCTATAGGGACACCAAGTTGTCTTTCATGGAAAAAATGAGACGACGACTTGTGAGTATCAGGGACGACCTAGATTTTTTTCGTCCCCAAAAGAATAGAGGACAAGAGTATAGGGCACCATATGTTGGGGACGATTTAGTCGTCTCCAAAAACTATAGGGACGATTTTTCCTATTTCCGTGGACAACTTTTGTCGTCCCCAAACCTACTCTTTTTTGTAATTAGAGTGGATTCGGACCACCTAATCTCCTCAACCAACAAAAGCGTTGGACATAATCTATTCCTAACGGTTTGATGGGACGAGTACTTGGATACGGGAGAAAGAGTAGATCATGGCAGCCTTATTAGCAAGGTAAGAATGTTCGTGATTGGCTAGCTGCTTTGTACGTTAAATGGGTTTGTTA